ACCCAGTGGGATTGAATTTTCTAGACTCAGGTTAAACAGGCAGAAGGACTGCCGCCTTAGCATTTGCAGTGAAGTTCCAGCTACGGGACCCGATCAGCGGAGGTGTCTGTATGAGGGTGCAAACGAGGGCGGGTGGCGGGGACAGGGCCGAGGACTGGTGAGCAGGACCACCTGATCCAGTCATGCCAGCTGCTCAGTAAATGGATTTTTCTGCCTGGCCACATGGGGCACTTTGGTAGATTGCTTTTCTCCTTTACTTTTGGGATGCAGAACAGGATGATTCCGGCAAATTGGGAAGATGATCCTAATTTACACAGCTGAGTCTAAGTTCTTAGGATGGAAAAGACAAAACAAAACAAAACAAAACAAAACAAAAATAAACCCCGCATTTTACCAGTTTTGAAGACGGTGTCTGGGATGGGCTTCAAAATCACGTCGGGGGAGGGGGAAGGAGGGAGGGAGACAGGGAAGCAACGTGGCTGGGACATCTGGGTGAAAGGTACAAGCCCTCCACCTCAGTAAGTGCTCGAGATTTCCCATCATAAGAGTTAAAACAAGACGATGCAGAGAACCAGTGATCCAGAAACCTGCTAGTTACTGATCTCAACCTTTAGCGTCACTGAAACCTTGTTAAATGGATGGCATTAGAGCAGATTATGCTAAGTGAAGCTAGTCAATCTTTAAAAAACAAATACCAAATGACTCCTTTGATATAAGGGGTGTAAACAAGGACAGGGTAGGGACGAAGAGCTTGAGAAGAATATTTACAGTAAACAGGGATGAGAGGTGGGAGGGAAAGGGAGTGAGAAGGGAAATTGCATGGAAATGGAAGGCGATCCTCAGGGTTATACAAAATGTCATATAAGAGGTAAGGAGGGGTAAGTCAAGAGAATACAAATGGAAGACATGATTTACAGTAGAAGGGGTAGAGAGAGAAAAGGGGAGGGGAGGGGAGGGGAGGGGGGAGAGTAGACAATAGGACAGACAGCAGAATACATCAGACACTAGAAAGGCAATATGTCAATCAATGGAAGGGTAACTGATGTGATACAGCAATTTGTATACGGGGTAAAAGCGGGAGTTCATAATCCACTTGAATCAAACCGTGTAATATGATGTATTAAGAACTATGTAATGTTATGAACGACCAATAAAAAAAAAAAAAATAAAAATAAAAATAAAAAAAAAAAAAAAAAAAAAAAAAAAAAAAAGCTGCTAACGAGGATGGCCGTCTCACATTGTTTTCTGCTCTCCACACCTGCCCGGCTTATAAGAGGCCCTAACAGAGAGCCCAGTGGTCAGTGGCCAGGGGTGAGGAGGGAGGATGTAAAGAGGAGTCACACCAGCCTGCACGGGATGAAGGAGCTGCTCATACCATGGGCTTCATGTTCTTGGGGCCCAGGATGGGAATCAGCACCCCACTCCCCGTCGCTGACCAGCATGGATGGGGACGCCAAGCTTGGTGCATTGGTGGGTTTCATCTTGGGGTGCTACACTCTTCTTTACTTACTGTGGATGGAATCAATGTCAGAATCAATAGCAATCAACTGGGCAGAGGAGCCGTAGGCTTATCAAGGACAGGAGAAAATCCACTCCTCCAGTATTGTACGCACCCCCCACGTCCCTGGGACTCCAGGAGGGGGAGCCTGCAAGGCGGTCGGGCATCCGAGGGCATAAGGAAGGCAAGAAAGGTTCCATCTTAGTCCTGTGAGGCTGGTGTCCTGGAGCCGCCCTTCATGATTAAACTGTAACCCTCCACCATGGAAAATTCTGAACTTGATTCCAATCATTGGCCATTGCTTTGAACAGTCAGCGTCTTCTAGGAAATCAGACATAAGATGTAGGATAACTAAATATCCCACTAAGTACTTAAAAATCTGGAGGTACAGGAATTTGGAGGCTTGATGTAAATCTTTTTTGAACTGCACCATGAATCATACCTTACAACAAAGCATACCCTGATCTTGAGCTTACAAAACTTCCTTCTAAAACAGGAATCAGAAAACAGAGGTTGGGGGGCGGGAAGGGGAGAGGGAATTTCTGCTATCAGTTAAATCAAAGACCATTTCTTGGCATCAAGCAGCTTGATTCTATTGCACTTGAAGCAACGGGGTAAGAGGTAAGAGAAACCTATTTGTGGATAGGCTAATTGAGCCAGCGGCCCACTTGAAGGAAACATAAAAGCATACCAAGGATTTGGTAGAATTATAAGCCGAGAGTTTCTGTAACACAGGTTTCTGCTTCCAGGGACTCCTAGGAAGCAGTTCTTCCTTTGCTTTGGGCAAAAGATCTGATTTAATTTTCTTCTTACTCATCATCTCCCAGCAAGAGGAGAATTTAAGGATTGCTTCATTTTTTGCCAAATGGTTAAAAAAAAAAAAAGCTCTTCCACCCTCTGATTACGCTTTAGCACCAGCCACGGCAATTGAGCCTGAGGTGCACTTCGGTTCTCTGGGGCTAGTTCAAACCTCCTCCTGCCTCTTCCCAGAAAACCTAAAAAGCCTAAAATAACACGGTGTCCAGGCACCCCTTTCTGTGATGCATTACCGGGTGATCTTAAAAAGCTGGCGGGGACCCCCTTGGGATGTGCCCTTGGGTCCTTCCCAGGTCCTCCTTGCTATACTGGGCACCCACTAGAGCTGCTGAGTGCTGACCATGATTGAGAACCCTCCCTGCCCCCGGGGGGGGGGACACCCCCGCCCTGGGGGGACCTGAAGCGAGAGAACAATTTGGGGGTGCGGAGCCTTTGGGGCACCTGGGATGGAGCTGAGGCTAAACCCCCAATGAAACCATATCCTAGATCAACTCCACCCGCTTCCATCTCCTGCCCATCACCTCCCCTCTGGGGGTACTTCCCAAGGAAAGCACCCCCTGGGAATCCCTATCCTCTGCTCTATTTCTAGAGAACCTGCCTGTGACACTTCTGATGGAAGCAAATTAAAGTTAATGGGTATTGTGTTCAGGGAGTGGTCTGTAAAGGCCCACCAACCTGGTGCATTCCATCCGGGCTTAGACCCAGGGACATACGCTGCAGCTTTAGGATTACATGAAGGAGGAGGCTGCAGTCTACTGCAGCTCCCATCTGCTTGGGGTCCAACTTAATGGACAAAATAGCCTTTCCGCTCCTAGACCCAGTTCCCAGTACCCTCCACAGAGCATCTTCACGAGACCCGCTTTCCATCCGCGTCACAGACCCGGCTTCCCCAACACTGTCCAGCCTGGGAGGCGGCAGGTGGCTTTGTGGGTTTCTGATTGATATTCCTGGATTCCAATTCATAGAATTTTAAAACACCTTGGGTTTCAGTCCCTGTGAGTCCTGTCCACATGCCTGATGGTGCCCTGAGGTCCATTCACCAAAACGAAAAGCATCATTTATCTTGTGTTTCAAGAATGAAAAAGAGCAAACCAGTCAACCGCACCGTCAGGAAGACTGTCTCTGCTCAGGACAGCCAAGTTCCTTGACCTAAAGAGATCTCGGTAGCTTGGGCTTGTTCTCCTGGTTCCTAGCTGCTATCCAGTACACTTAAATCCCTCTTGTCCAACCTGTAAAGCTTCTGTCTTGTGCTAACTCACAAAACGGAGCATGGTTTTAGAGTGGAGGATGGTCTTTCAGAGGTGGAGGCTGAGTCCCCCGGATCTCCTTTTCTACAGCGTGTGTGTTTGTGGCAGGGGACTGGATGGTTGGTTCTTGCCTCTGGCACTTCTGGGTGGCCTTTAAACCCCATCTGTCCATCCACACTGGCTGGCCCTCCTCTTTTCCTCATGGCAGAAGGACGGGCAGCCAACACTAGCTACCTCCTTGAACTGCATTTTCCAAATAGAAAACTTCCTTGCCCCTAAGTGTTGATAATACTGATTTTCTTAGAGCTTTGATTAATTAATTAATTATTAGTTTTTGGTACTGGGAATTGAATCCAGGAACACTTACCTACTGAGCCACATCCCCAGTCCTTTCTTATATTTTACTAGAGACAGGGTCTCGCTGAGTTGCTCAGGGCCTTCCTAAGTTGCTGAGGCTGGCTTTGAACTCGAGTTCCTCCCACGCCACTGGGATTACAGGTGTGGGCCACCGTACCTGGCCAAAAGTAATTTATTTCTTTTTTTTTTTTTTTAATTTTTTAATATTTATTTTTTAGTTCTCGGCGGACACAACATCTTTGTTGGTATGTGGTGCTGAGGATCAAACCCGGGCCGCACGCATGCCAGGCGAGCGCGCCACCGCTGAGCCACATCTCCAGCCCCTAAAAGTAATTTATTTCTGATACAAGCTTCCCTGTGTTGCCCAGACCGGCCCTGGACTCCTGGTCTCGAGTGATCCTCCTGTTTCAGCCTCCTGAGCAGTTGGCACCACACTCGGTTCTTGCAACTTTTTAAAGTATTCTCTTTCTTTTGCTTTAAAATCTCTTGCCCTCCACCTAAAGCTATGGAGGTAAAAGTGTGATATCCTTGGTGACAAATCATCAGCTCCCAGCCAAACAGGAAGGAGCAGAGTTGCAATAAGGACCTCAGTTTACCGACAGGGTGTGAGAACTCAGGAGCTACAGACCCTACCGCCAATCTCAGCCTTGCCACCCACTTAAACTCTCAAGTCAACAAACTTCTGTTAGCTGGTAGTGTAGCCCATGTAACATGTGCTTAGGATGCATCATGAGGTCTCGGGTTTAATTGTAGTACCAAAAAAAAAAAAAAAAAAAAAGAAGAAGGATAAAAAATTCTGCCATGCTGATAATAATATGTACATCACAAAATTATTGGAAGAAGTAATAACATGGAAAATTCCCAGCAAGGTGAGAGGATGTTTCACAAACATTAAGGGTCTTCCCCTTGTTGTCCTTGGTTTCTGTGTTGTTCCCACCAACTGAGAGTTTCTGGTGGAACCAGGTGGAAGGGGTGTGGCTCCTCCAGCCCTGGAGGAAGCAGTCTGGGCCAAGGTCAAGTGCGGGCCTGAGGCCCCACACAGAAGGGGGCGCTCTGAGGGGACCCCGCACAAAGTGGCCTACCTGGTGGTCGTCCGGATGGTGTTTTCTTTCGTGTGATTGTGCTCTTTGCTCACTTTTTCTGGAAGGAGAAAGAATGAAACGTAGATCTCTTAGGTTGTGTTCACTGAGCTTTCGTCGTTCAGCAGAAAACACCCCAGCTTCTCTTTGTCTCTTGTGGCTTTCTTTGGGTTTCCTTTTTCAACATTCAAACCCTCCCTGTCTCACTGAGCAAGATGCCTCCAAAGTGCACAGACAGAACCCACAGGAAGAATTTTATTGAAAAACCCATCAAAGGGGACGAGTTAGTAAGTTTCAGGTGTGATGTCTGATTTCCATCGGCCCCGGTGAGCACGCACACTCCCCACCCACAGTGACACGTAGGCAGAGACAATGAAGTCTACTCTGTCTTTCCCCAGCTGAAAATTTCTGCTTTCCTCTGATTCAGCATGAAAACTGCAATTGTTGCAACTGTTCTGCCCCTGGCTTTGATGACAACCTTTACGCATTCTGTATTGTCAGGCCCCTTTGTGAGCGGGGATATAAAAACAGCTAGAAGACCTCTCGGTGCCGCAGTCATCGACTGCTGATTCTGATAAATGTCACCATGGACAAAAACAGATCATTAGACACGAAGAGGGACACCCTCCCTTCCTGGGTCTTGGGGTCTGAATCTCCCAGCTGTCAGAAATTATTTAATTAGCTTCTAAGGACACAAAAGTTGATCTCTGGCTTTCTCAATCCAGTTCAAATGGGAGGATTCTACCGGGACCACGGCAGCTCTCAATGGCTTCCTTTAAGCAGCTGGAGAAACCAGGGCTAACTCTAGGAGGGTCTCAGATTTCAACGGCAGGACCAGGAACAAAATCCTGATCCTGTGGGGTTTCAGAAAAATGTAAACGAAGGTTTAGGACATCTGTCCCACACTTTGTAATACTAGTCTGAAGCCACAGTACGTGTGTTTACGTCGACAATTCCTTTCTGTCCATTCAACAATGACCAGGGTGAACTGGGAATGCCAGCCAGTGTTCTTGCAGAGAGCAGGAAGTCAGGGCTAAGTGACTTGTCTGAGGTCCGTGACAGCGCCAGGGTGAGAACTCTCAGACACCGAGTTTTGAGCTGATAGGAGACTGTGATAATGTACTGTCAGAGACTTTCTGAAAAGAACCACACAGGTCTCACTTTTGCTAATTTTAACTCTCCAATGATTTTAATCATTGTCAAAGTGATACTGTTTTCAGATATGTCTCAGACTTAAAAAAAAAAAATTCACATGGTTTTGGAGCTTGTAAAGACCCGTGTCCTATTAAATTTATCAAACTGGTGATTTCCAATAATGAAGAGAGCTGAGCAAAAACAGCCCTTGTTGGAGAAGCTGGGGGCCACCATTTTCAGCACGATCTGGTAGTTACCCAGCTAGGAGTTGTCTCCAGGCCAAGGAGAAAGCGAACCACCACGGAGGAACACAGATTCTTTCCTGTGTTTTTTGTAGGGAGGAAAGTCAGTGAACACTTAAATAATGCGCAATTTAGGGCTGGGGTTGTGGCTCAGGAGCAAGCACTCACCTGGCACATGTGGGACATTGGGTTTGATCCTTAGCACCACATAAAAATGAACAAATAAAAGCATTCTGTCCCTCTACCAACTATAAATTTTTAAAAATGAAGAATTTAGTGGATGTTTTGTTACCCATAACAAAACAGTTTATCAAACAAGTTCTACTGATGCATAAACTTCAAAGTGTAGGTCAGTGCTGGACTATGGACTTTTGCGTATTTAGAAGCTAATTAAATAATGCTTCTATCATAATCTGAGTCTTCTCAGTGTACGTAGCGTGTTCAAAGAATGACTGCATATTAAATTTGTTAGGGACAAATGGTGTGTGGCTTGAAAAGAGCTGCAGAGAAGGACGGCTTAGGTGCTGGGACCCCCAACTACTTCATCCAGACACATCACTGGGCTGGCCATTCCTGCACTTTGGATTGAAAGTATTCAAAGTAGAAAAAGTTGCCTTACAGAAAATACTTTCTTAGGCTCTACCTGGAAGTAGTCTTCCTCCTTTTGATTTCTGTTTAGCAAGTTATAATACAATCTCATCAAGCCAGACCACACTAACTTGGAGTTCATGGAAATTCAGTCTACACTGGGGCAAACGTCAGTGTGTCTTTGGCACAGTAGGAAAAAATAAGATGGCTGTTAATCCAATCAACAAACCAAATCAAAATCAGAGGTAAGGTTTTTTTTTTAGCCTGGATCATTTGCACCAAATTGCAGAGTTCTCATTTCAAAAGATTTTTTAACTATTTACTAAAGAAAGTCTGGCAGGAATTCCAATTGGCAGTGCTTTATTAACTGCTCATTTGGGTGGCAGTCTGGGTGTTAAAGTAACAAAAATTGACTTCTGTCTAAAACTTCCTATCATATGTGGATTGGCTTCTCTTTTTTTTCCTTTTTATTCATTTATTTATTTCCTTGTTAAAAGGGCCTTCCTCCCCATGATTTCAAATTTAATTTTTCGACTTTTTTCCCCCTAAACCCAACMTACCCGACAGTTGAAAGAGAAGCTCGGAAGCCATCTTCACAGAGATGTCCTGACTGAAGAGGTTCCTCTCTGGGGGGACCCTGCCCTCCGGCATCTTCTGTAAGGGTTCGGTTTTCTCTCGCCCGATTAAAGTGCTGTAGCCAGCATTCCGGCTGGGTGACATGGAGACGGGGGCGTCCTGGACATCAACCTCCATGGGTTCCTCTTTAATCTTCACCGTCCGCGTTTCCTTGTAGCTTTCCGCTGCAAGCAGGTGAACAGAGAGAAACAAAGACACACCACTGTTTCTTAATTCTGAACTGACTCCAGATTCTCATCGCAAAGAAAACTCTGAGGGCTGAGGGAAGGAACAGTCTGGAAAGAGTGGGCGCCATGACACTCCAGATCACTGATGGACACCATTGGTCCAACCCATCTGACTTCTAAAAAGGTGAGAGATTGAGGCTTCCACTTTGCAGCCCAGAGAAATGAAGTGTCTTGTCCAAAGTCACACAGAGGGCCATGGAGACAGGTCCGGGTGTCTAGGTCTAGAACTCACTAGGTTTCCTGACTGGGTCTCCTTACAGCCCCCAGGCCCCCTTCCTCTCCACTGTACTGCTTCCAGAACCAACCGAGAACATGGTCAGTGCCTGTCCTTGTTCTATCTAGAACTGACTCAATTTCAGTGAATCAAATAAGAGCAAGCCTGTTAGTACTATAATTTCTTCCCCCTATTTTTAAAGCTGGGATCAATTTTTTTTTCTCTCTCTCTTTGAAGGCACCTAAATTAATAAAGGGTAAATAAGGTGAATTCAATGGAGGGAGATATTTATACCTTGCTGGAAGCTAGTAATCCTCAAGAACACCCAGGAAGTTAATTGCAGCCCAAGGATCAACGCCCAGAAGAACAGCAATCTCACAGGTTATAATAACAGTTCAATTTACTGACAGCTCTTCCTTTGGGTGTGCCTACTAGATTTTTCATCTTTAATCTAAAACACACATTTGCTTTGCAAGGTCTGAGAGTCTGTTCACATGTTCCTGAGAAGGGATGGGAGGACACTTTTGAAACAAGGTGGGACCATCAGTGCAGACATTAATTTGGGCCACTTTAAAGTCCAATCAACAGTTACTAGTAACTACTGTGTATATAACATTCTAGAAAATTAAAAAAAAAAAGGAGACTAAGACAGGTAGATAAAAGATAGATAGATGACCGACATCTCTCTATAGACATCTATCTATGAATAGTGGCCCTAAAAAGCTATGTCTATGTCCAAATCCTAGGAACCTAGAAATGTAATATTATTTGAAAAAAAATTTTTTTTTGTAGATGTGACTAAGTTAAGGATTTCAAGATGATATTGTCCTGGAGTATCCAGGAGGACCCTAAATCAATGACAAGGATCTTACTGGAGACCAAAGAGGACAAGATACAGACACTGTGGAAAAGCCCAAAGTTATGGAACAACAATCCATGGAGAGTCTGCGGCCCCCAGAGGCTGAAGACGTAGGGAGAATCCTTTTGTGTTGGGTAAGACCTGCCCAACTGACTCCTTGGCAGGCCTCTGGCTCCCAGATTCATGACAAGCTACCACCCTGTGGACAACTTTGGACCACAGGCCTAGGGTGATTGACAGGGCAATAAGACTGTCCGTGGTACAGTCAGGAGAGGCGAACGGGAGACCTCCCGTTGGTGAGCTCCATGTCAGAGATACTGCTTTCCCGCCAAGCATGGCCCTGATGAATACCTGCATAATTTACTGACGGGCAGTGAAAAAGAAGAGCATTTTTAATTGAATGATTAAAATTAATATGGTGCCATCCATGAGGTCTTATTTAAGAAGCGGGCTAACTGTCCTTCCCCGCCCCCTCCTGACATGTTCCACATGTTCCTCAGGGAAAACTGCTGGTTTCTTGTCAGCATCTAAACTGCAGGCAACTGGGATATTCAATTTAGATCCTCTCCCCTTCCCTAATTCCTACCAAGCTGTTAATTCCCTGAATGTCTGTGAAGTAGCACATAAAACGCTGGTTCACTGACTGAGTTGTGAGAAGGAGGAGGAGGAGGAGGAAGAGGAGGAGGGGGAAGAGGAGGAAGGAGAGGATGGTGGAGGAGGGGAAGGAGGGGAGGAGGGGCAGGCAGAGGAGGGAGAGGAAGGAGAGAGAGAATTCCAGGTCCTGTGCTCAGCTCCTCTGCCTTCAAGTGCAGCCCACCTCTTTCCTAACCRACTGAATTTGGTGATGGCCATCCCACCCACTCAGGAAAGCGATCACGACACGCCTTTCCTTCTTCATGTTCCCTCAAAGTACTTAATATTTGTAAAAATAGAATAAACTTAAACAGTGGGGTCAGTGTCACAGGTACACAGTGATACCTAGGCACCCTGCACTGGCTAGTCATTCTGAAGYGGAAGGCCAACACAAAGAGACACCAGCCCAAACACAAAGGCACTCATTGAGTTAAAAAAAAACAAACAAACCATAAAACAAAAACTCAACAGCATAAAGCTAGAAAGAAGCTCCATTATTTATCTTCTCCCCCAACCCTGTCTCCTCAGCTTTGACCCTGGATTAAAAACTACCTGGTTATTTGCAGCACTGGTTTTAATAAAATTAGTTGTTAAAATCTACTTGGGATCATTTCAAGTAKGATTTTCATGGAAGTGTTTCTGCCCTTTCTTATGACAACTCTTGACCTTTCGAAAAAGCACAAAACACTGRTCACTGATAAAAAACCTTTAGCATCCTTAATCTCCCGGATGGATTCCAGACTTGCAGAAGGGTTTTCAAACTAACATCTCAATGGATGAGTAAGGCATATTACAATCAATATTTTTGTAGCCCTTTCTGTTCCCTGCATGATTGCCAAATGCTTCCTTGTCTTTTATGGAAAAATAAAATAAAAAATTAGGAGTTCTCCATCTTGGCACTATCACCATTTGGGGGCAAGATTTTTGTTGTGTGGGGCTGTGCTGGGTAATTCAGAATGTTTGGCCACATCCCTGGTCTCTACCACCAAATACCAGTAGCACCAGCCTCTGGTATTAACAATCAAAAGTGACTCCAGACATTGCCCAATTTTCTTGGGGAGAGGGGAAGGGCAGAATCACACTGGTTGAAAACCACTGCTCCAAGCTTTTGCCACAGTCTATTTTTCCTTCCAAAAAAAAAAAAAAAAAGTTAAAATGGCATCCAAGGAAAAAAAGAAAGGTCCCTGGGCAGGTTGACCCAGGAGCACAGGTGACAGGTGACTGCTCCACACCCCATGGGGTCCCCARGACCCCCTTTTATTCATCTTCCCCACTCACCCAGGGACAAGTCTATACACCAGGATTTACCTCTTTTCCTGACACACACGATAGGACGAGTTTTAGACTCTCTTTTAAAAATAATAGGTTAAATATTCATTTTATTCTGAGTGACCTTTACATGACTATTCCAAGAAAGAAATCAGTCCATAAAACAGAGAGGAGGGATAAAGTGTGAGGAGCAGGTGATGCTTGGAGACGGGGCTGTGCATGATTATCTATCACGACACTTATTTTGTATTTTTTAATTTCCTAAGATAAATACCGGCACTGTATCGTGTACCTGTTTTTGTTGTGTTTGTTTTTTTTTAAGGGAAAATGAATATGTATCCCCATAATAAGAYGACAAAGTCCAGTCTCTGACACTAGTGTGGAATGATATTTGCTGCAATGTCTAGTAGCATTTTTAGGGTGGGCTTGTCCAATGGATAAGTCCTAGTCCAACTCAGCTGGGCAGCAGGAAGGGGAAAGGCAATTCCACTTTGGCCTTCATAAACCAACACCTAAGAGGCAGCCAGCTATGCCTTATTCCATTTGACAGCCTGCCTTGAAGGTGGACCATGTCCTCAGTGAGGCAGACAGTGTGGACTTAAGCAAGACACAGTTCTTGCCCTCAAGCTGTTGACATCTAGATGTTTGGTGAGGGGAGGATAAACATCCCTTTGATATAAGGAAAGTTATAACACAGGGTGTGGGACAGCAGCCAGAGCCCACAGGGGGGACTGTACTCTCCCAGGGCTGTTTGGGAACATCCTGTCGTCTGATTTGCCTGAGGGCCCATGTGCAGAGGTGGAGCTGCAGCTTTAGCAGGCAGAGCTACTCCAGGTCTGTCCTGAGGGCTGGGCTCTCCTGTCGCTGGGCACCATCTCGCTGGGCACCATCTCGGGCCGGCCCATAACCTGGCAATTCTTCCTGAACACCAAGACTTAAAGCTCCTTTAGACASAAAAATGGTTTGATTTAGGAGCCAAAATGCTCAGTCCCATGTGATGTGGCCCAGTTGGACCTCCCTTGGAAAGCTGAGGGAGGGGGGCGTGGCTGGCCCCTCCCCATCACGTCACACTGGATTCTCTCCCACACACCTGTTCTCTTGTCAGGGACAGATGAGGCCGGCAGACAGGGGGGCGTGGGTCTTCTAGCCCTGGGGGCCAGCAGCTGTTTCTCTCCTGGGACTTGCCCATGGGGTCTTCTCCCAAGGAGGGCCTTTCACTTAGAGGTGGTCTTTCGGACTTCCCTTCAGCTCTCTTTCTGAGGTTCAACACCCTCTAGCCTGAGGCCACTCAGTTCCTCCACAGCCTCTCCCAGACCYGTTTCCATCTCCCTTTGCGCTCAGTCCCATGGACTGATTCTCTCCACAGCCCCACGGGGCAGCATTTGAGACAAAACCCACACCAGCCATCCTGTGGGACTCTGGCCKACCACTGGGCCGTGGGAGACGGTCACCTCTTATTGGATCAAAGAGGAAAAGTTGAGGCCTAACCCAGCATCATGGCGGCTCTTGCTGTCCCCTGAACCAGCTGGCCAGCCCACTTCTGCCCTCCAGACTTGCCAGCAGATGTCAGACGTCAGGCCACTGTGCTCCCTGACTGAGGGAAACACAGGATGTACCTCCCACATGGTGTCCCTGAAGCCATGCTCTTTAATCTTGGGTAGGACTGGGTTCCCCTTCCCCATGTCCTTTGCCCTGTCCAGTTCTCTCCAGAGGAATCTTCAAAATCCCTCTCACTCTGATCTTCAATTTTGATATTTTCAGTCGGGTCAGGAGGGCCAAGTTCTGTTTTAATCATGGTGAAATATACRTAACATAAAATTAACCATTTTAACTAATTTTAAACATACATTTCTGCTGCAGTCTGGCTGGCCACAAAATAACCGAGCCRCCACGAGGAGGCACTTGKAGGTTCAAACAGGAACTCCTTTATTGCCCGAATTCCCGAGCAGGCCACCCATGCGG